CTAACTCATTAGCCATAGTCTCTCTCCAATAGGGATAGTTAACAGCCTGGTGATAGAATTGGGGTTCAAAGGTTGATGAAATTTGGAGAAGATAAGAATGATGAGGAAATGAAAGAGATGAATATGAAAGGTGATATGTCAATGGATATGGAGCAGCAGATGAAGTCTGAGAAGTATGTTGTAGTAAGTTGCAGTGATAGTCCTGCAGATAAGAAGGTGGCTTAATAGCCCTTGAAGTTCTCCTAACAACAAGAGTATGAGTGGTGACAGTATGGGGACTTGAATTAGAAGTGATAGAGATATCATTATCAGGTAAAAGCACAGAAGAGAGGGGCAGACCAGAAGCTGGTACATGCAATACTAACTCTAGGAAAGGATCAACAAGATCAGTAGGTAAGTTTATGGACTGAAAGGGAAACAATGTCTCATGAAAAATCACATCCCGAAAGATAAAGAAAGTTCTGGATTATATGTTGTAAAGTCTATAGCCTTTCATGCCAAGTAAATAACCAACAAAGATGCAAGCTATTGCACGAGGATGGAATTTGGTTTGAGTGGAAGGTAAAGTTGATGCATAGCATAAACAGCCAAATACCCTGAGATGGGAGTAATCAACTGGGGTGCCATGGAGAAGGTAAAAAGGAGACTCACCATGTAATAAAGGTGATGGAGTTCGATTTATCAAGTAGGTAGCAGTGAGAACACACTCAACCCAGAACTTGATTGGCACATGAAAGTGAAAGAAAAGGGCTCGAGCAACATTAAGGAGGTGTTGATGTTTCCGTTCCACGACAGAGTTTTGTTCAGGGCGCTCAACACAAGAAAATTGATGTAATACACATTTGAAATTGAAAAGGTCAGTAAATTGCAACTCAGGTGCATTATCAGACCTAAATTTCTTGATAGCTTTGCCAAATTGTGTTTCAATAAGAGAGAAAAATCTGGGAATGATGAATTTGGCGTCTGATTTCTGTTTCATGAGGAACAACTAAGTAAATCTAGTGCAATTATCCACTAAGGTGAGAAAATAATGATTCCCAGAATGTGTAGGTGTATGGTATGGACCCCACGTGTCACAATGAATCAAATCAAAGGCATTTTCAGACATATGATTGTTGGAAACAAAAGAAAGACGTCTTTGTCTAGCTAATGGGCAGATAGAACAATGAATGTCTTTACGATGTTTATAATTGAGAGATAGCCTGTCTTTCAGCAAGTCTAAGCGCTTAAAGGATACATGGCCAAGGTAATTGTGCCAAATTTCAGATGACACATTATTAACATTCATAACAGATGAATTACAAGAAGTTTCAGTAGCAACAAAAACATAATTATAAGGAGTTTGAGTAGAAACAGAATTACAAGAAGTAGAAAAATTGCTAGAATCAATGACATATAGATCTGCCACTTTGTTACCCTTGCCAATCATCTTCACAGTTGGCCTTTCCTGGAGGACACAACAATCCATAAGAAAGTTAACTTGAAGAGAAGAATTTCTGGTTAACGAGGTAACAGATAACAAATTAAATTGGAATTGAGGGACATAAAGAACATCATATAGCAACAACAATGGACTGAGTTGAATGGATCCTGAGAAGTGAACTTGTATACGTGAATTGTTGGGAAGAGTAACAAATGAATTTGCAATGGGAATCATAGTATGGAATAGAGATCGATCAAAACACAAATGATTTGTGGCACCGGAGTCAACTATCCAGAGTTTAGGAGAATGAATCATAGGTTGATTACAAACAGATGAGCATATACCTGATGTGTGAGTAGAGTTCACATCAACCCCAGTGTCAGTTTTAGCTGATATCAAATGAGAATTTAGCATGGCCAACAATTGCTGATATTGATTTGTATTCAAGGTTTGAACAAAACCATCAATATTCTCTTGATTAGCAAGAAATTCTGAGACCTGATTTGCTGCAGCAGTAATATTTTGAGTTTGATGAGTAGTCCTCTGCCTTGTTTTGGAACCAGGAGGGTAGCCATGAAGTTTATAACATTTGTTAACAACATAACCTGTAATTCCACAATATCTACAGAATGGTCGATCCTTCTTCTGATACTTACTAGACTGTTGATTGCTATTATAATGATTTCTTTCATTTTTAACAGAGAAAGCCATAGTATTATTCCCAGTAGATGTTCCTGCCACAGTATTCAAGGTTCGTTGATGTTCCTCTTGAGAAACAAGAGCGAATACTTTGTTGATGGGTGGTATATGATCCATGAGCAATATTTGACTGCGAGTTTGAGCAAAGGATTCATGAAGCCCCGTCAAAAAAGACATTACATACTCAGTTTGATAGTGTTCATCCAAAGCCTTAGTCTTACATGAACAGGCAGGTCTATAGTTACTTAATTCATCCCAAATTGTTTTCAGTTTGGTAAAGTAAGCTCCTATGTTCAATTGAGCTTGAGCATGATTCATGAGATCACGTCTCAGCTGGAAGATATGTGGTCCATTTTTCTGTTGAAACCTCTCTTTAAGATCCTTCCAAATTTCATAAGCAGAAGTCGAATACAAAATACTTGCTGATATTTCCTTGGATATAGAATTCAGTATACAGGATATGATGATGTTATTATTACGGATCCAGGAATTGATGAGAACATCATTACCTTCAGGTTTGGGGATAGAACCATTGATGAAACCCGGCTTGTTCTTCATCGATAGGGCAATGATCATACTTTGACTCCAAGAAGCATAATTGTCACCAGCAAGTTGCTGAGAGACCAGAATCAAACCCGGACTATCCAAATGATGAAGGTAATAAGGACTTAATTCAACACCAGTGATAGAATTGCTTCCTGATGATGCAGAATTGTCCGATCCCATTGCAGCAGCCGTCACCATAAGAATGCGATTCAATTCGCGAGAATGCAAAATCAATTGATCAGTAAAATCAAACAGAAACGAAAATCTGATTCAATCGATGAACTAGAAACTGAATCAGGAATATTAAAATCGCTCTGATACCATATTGAATTTAGAGAAATAGAAGATAGAAAACACAGAATAAAAGTAGAGAGAGAAATAGGCGGGAAGCTTTATTCTGTTCAATACAATCACCTATATATAAATAATTGGTCTAACTAATTGACAGTTGGAAATTTAAAATATCTATGTAACTAATAATAAGGTTCAAACCATGAAGAAAGTATAATATTTTAGCTTCGAAAACCTAAATACGTTTAAGATACACTTTTTTTTTTCCATGGAAAAAAAACTTTCTTGATTTGGCTCACATGCTCACATTTTCCTTGGTTTTGTGAAAAATCAATTGCCACCAGATATTTTTTTTTTTTTTTTTTGCAATGGTAAAAAATTCTNTTTTTTTTTTTTTTTTTTCTTTGCAATGGTAAAAAATTCTAGACTCAATGGTAAGAAATTTATCACTTTTATTGACAATTTCCATGCAAAACAAAACCAAACGAATGGTATTCGATATGGTAAATTTTTTTTTTTTGGAAATTAGAACAAATTCTAGATCAATGGTAGAAAAAATTATCACTTTAATAGACAATTTTTTTCATAAAAACGAAGTCAAACGGACACCAAACTTTCAATATTTTTCAGATGGAAAATTATACAAATCAAACACAATTAATTATAATTCCCTATAAAACATTTGATTTCCACTGATTTTCCACATTTGCAATCAAACGGACCCTAAATGTAAAATTCATGAATTTAGGAGGACAAAAACATTCATAAGTTTTGAACATAAATAAATATTCATGAACATTGTATATGTATATAAATTTGGAAAGCAAAAGATTCATTTGCATGATATGTAAGTGTATTTGGAAACTAACTTCTCGCCGAAATTATATCAAAGAGAATAATAAGCGATGAATGAAAACAGGACAGATTCTATACTTCTAAAGGAGAATTTTGCTATTATTATATGCAAAATATTAAGCATGTGAAGTTTCCAATTTCAACTTGTTATACTCAGAATGTAATAGAGTCGTCTTTTTCTCCTAAATAATATTAATTTTTATAGCTATGGATAAAATCAAATGATATAAAATTCATGAAGATACAAGTAAGTACATAGACACTCACTTCTTTTAACATTAGATATAAATGAGTAATACTATTCTTAGTGAAAACTATCAGTAGTCTTCATGCGTGGCATATATATAATGGTTTGTGATTTGGTGCATTAATGTAGTAGTTTTTTATTGACTTGTGCATCAAATCACAAACCGTTACATATATGTCACGTAAGAAGACTACTGATAATTTTCACTAAGAATATCATTAATCTATAAATATTCATGAACAAGATAAAAGTAAGTGCAAAGACATTCATTATTTTTAATATTAGTATATAAATGTTCATGAACTTTAATCTTTGGATAAACATAAATTTGAAAACTAAAGATTCATTCAAAGTGACCTATTAATCTATTTGGAAATTAACTCCACGACTTAGGTTCTCATAAAATACTCCGAAGAGAAAAGTTTAATTATATATATATAAACAAGACCGATCTCCTAAGTTAAGCACCAGAGTGACATAGCACACTATAATAAGTAGTGGGAAATAATGATTGGTTACTAAATTGATTACAGTGTGCCACGTCATCCGAGTTCTTTAGGAGATCAATTCATAATAGATTTTCAAGTGCTGTCTTATCTAACAAGTGTTTGAAGATAATATTTAAATAATATACATTATGTTACTATATTTGACAATTTAAACTTGTAAATTAAGTGATTCAACAAGCTATAATCCATAAGTAGATGCAATGAGAATCTATTCTAGAAGAAGAAATTTACTATTATTATATGCAAAATATTAAGCACGTGAAATTTCCATTGTCAACTAAGTTACTGCATTTATGCTTGCTAATGTCTTCTTTCTTTCTTGTATAAAAGGATTAGTCCCTCCCATTTCAATTCCATACTTCCCTGTAACAATCCTATAAACTTCTACTTATCCCTATAATATATTTCGAATTGTCACTTATTTTACAAGATGAAGGTCCAGAGAGTGAAAAGATTTGCACTCCTAATGGCAGCAAGGGATTCAGATTATGTGAAGAAAGTCTATGGCGGATATTATAATGTATTTGTTGAAGCATTTGCAGATGAAGGAGAGAAATGGGACATGTTTCGCGTAGTCGAGGGCGAATTTCCCGACATGGATGATCTTCAAAAATATGAAGGATTTGTGATCAGTGGAAGCCCTTATGATGCTTATGGGGATGAAAATTGGATTCTTAAACTTTACTTTCTTTTGCAGAAATTATTTACCATGCGGAAGAAAGTTCTTGGAATTTGCTTTGGTCATCAGGTATATATATTTGTACTGAAAATAGAATACTTATAGAAAGGAACAACCGATGTTTTGAAAATCAAACACGAACCACAGAGCAACTTAGAGAATTCTTTTACCCGACTTTGTATAGTTGGTTTAATATCACAACTAGTAATCCTATATAAGGGTTGCCTAACTTTATGTCTTTTCTTTTTTGTATAAGTTAATAATACACTTCCTGCGTATTCTTCTTTGATGAATAAAATTTTGGATTATCTATCAAAAAAAAAAAAGAAAATAGAATACTTATATAAAATGATACTTAAATAATGAAGGCTAATTTTGCTTATTTTGTTTCACTTTTTACTTATAATTATGTTTAATTGTTTCAAGGTTTTGTGTAGAGCTTTGGGAGGGAAAGTTGGGAAAGCATATAGTGGTTGGGATATTGGAATAAGAAAGGTTAGGTTTACTGAGGATTTCACTTTTCATGGATATTTTGATGATAATTTCGATGAAATTCCTCCCACTCTTTCAGTCATCGAGTGCCATCAAGATGAGGTATATCTCTCTTTCATTTTTCACCCTAAATTTCCATGTCTAGTGTGTGTAATTTTTTTCCTACTTTTATTAAAGAAACTTGACAGGTTATGAAATTAATTGACAGGTTTGTGAAGTGCCTGAGGGAGCACAAGTTCTTGCATGTTCTGATAAAACACGCGTAGAGATGCTCACATTTGGAGACAACATTCTAGGAATTCAGGGACATCCTGAATATACAAAAGACATTCTTGACAATCTCATCGATCGTCTTCTCTCGAACGACTCCATTGAGGTAGACGATCCATATATTGTAAATTTAATTGGTTTTAAAAACCCCTTAGACAATTTTATTTTTCATTAGCGGCCCTAAACCCTAATAAATGAGGAGGGTTTGCATTTTGTTAACGCTAGTGCACAATTTGTTACATATTTACCTATATTTGATAGGGACTAAAATCTAGAATGTTATCAAAGTCGGTCAAGAATTAGTTTTAATGACATATCTCATGGAATCCACAATCTTTCGATCACAAGTTTTATTAATTTTTATGAAGATTCACTAAAAATCTGATTTTATTCATCACCGAATGAGGGCTTATGCCATAAATCGTTGTAGTATTGAGACATATAACTATGTTATCTTTTGTATCCTCCTAAACCCTGATAAAAGGAAGGTAACATTAAACTTTGTTACTTACGTCTTGAGGCATATTTCCATTTAATAGCTAGTCCTAAACTCGAATAAAGGAGACCGTCAATGGAAATTTCTGCCAAATTTTATGACAAGATGCCCCTATTATATTCACATCCGAATCATCCAATATATGAATCATTCATTAGAGCGCATGCACTCTTTCTTGTACTTTGCAAACTCACTTTTTATAAAATTTATTTACAATTGCAGAAGGGTTTTGCAGAAGAAGCCAAGATGAAGTTAATGGAAACAGAAGCAGATAGGAAATACTGGGAAGGGATTTGTAAGAGCTTTCTTAAAGGCAGATGGATTACTCAGTCACAAATTGTTTCTGTTGTAAAACAATAAAGATACCAGAATTGCTCTGGTACCAATTATTGTAGAACAAATCACCGGATTGAGATGTTGAAATTATATGACAAATAATAATGAAGTATTTAATCAAGCAAAAAAATAAAGAAGACAAGAATATGATTGAGGAATTAAGAGATTTTATTGACTCAAGAATAATGGAGAAGGGAGAAAATTACAATGGATCCTATAATTCTAGTAATTTATTTTTTCACATCATAAATTGTATAGAAGTACCTAATATTTATAGGGAACATGTATGGGATATACAAACCCTTCTAGTAGAGTTGTTGATGAAATAGAATACCAAAAAATCGAGTCCAAAACAAATTCTAATTCCTAATGGGCTTCCAAAATAGAACTTCATCTATAGGACTTCAATAGCATTCCAAATTGAATTCTTCTTGATGTGCACTTCAATTAGAATTCTTCAATTACTTCAACGAGGAATTCGGGTCACACCCAAATTCTAACAATCTCCACCTTGACACGAATTCCACCAAGGAATGAACTCCTTCTTCAACAATAATCAAAAAAATTAATTTCTCCAACAAAGCACAATACTCAACATCTTCCAATGAATCCAAGTACTACTCTGCAGAATTATCTCAGGTCCCAAACAATCATAATGATTTTATAATTTACCAAAATGGATTGTAACACACCCCCAAAGCAGAATCAAATCCAAATGCTTTCAAAGAAGACCTCTTGCTAGATTATACACCTTCTACTCCACTTAAAGCATACTCAACAAAATCAGCATCCACATACATTTTTCCACTGGATCCGTTTCTAGCAATTGAATACAATGGCACAGCAGGTGATGGTGGCAAAGCGGCATTATCCATATTTCATGAACTCCACTGAACTCTATTATTCAAATCTGACCCTTTATGAGCTCCTAAAGGTATTGTATTAAACTGAATTTTCACCACGGTACTGAACTTGTGCTGATTGACTTTTCTAAATTCTGCACGACCCTGTAAGATGTATAACCGAGACATTTTCTGTCCCTTCAATACAACTTGAGCACCCTTACAAATCTTCAAAACTCCACCTCTACCAAAAAACTTATAACCTTTTGAATCAAAAATAGACAACGAGATGAGATTTTTCTTCAAATCTGGAACATATCGAACCGGTCAAGTGTTCTAGTTGTCCCATCCAAAAGCTTCAATCTGACTGTACCAATTCTAACAACCCGACAAGATGTGTTGTTTCCCATAACCATGACACATTTAAAAAAAGTTTCACATGTAATAAACAAGTCCTTATTAGAACACATATAAAACGCACATGCTGAATCAAGAATCTAATCATCTTCCAATTTGAACTCAATGTCAGAAATGGCTAAGAGATCTCCTTTACAACATTCTCCGCGAGGTCTGCTTCACCTGAAGCATATGAATACCTACTTACAGCCATCCTTTCTTTATTCTGAAATTTGGAGCAATCCTTCTTTAAGTATCCATTCTTCTACAGTAGTTACAAATTTGATTACTGGACTTAAATTTCGATATGTCCTTTCTAGAACCACCATGAGCAACCAGACCTTCTTCATCTCTGGCCTCAAAAATCGGATGCTTCATCTTATTTTTTTTAATACAAAGCATCATACACTTCCTCTATAGTGAGAGTATCGCGACTATATAAGATCGTATCTCTAAATGAAGAAAACTAAGCAGGCAACGAACACAATAGGATCAAGGCCAAATCATCTTTATCATACTCTACTTTCAAAGTTTTCAAATGAGCAACGATCTCCTTAAATAACAGTCAGATGATCTTCCAATGATTCTCCTTCTGCCATTCAATGAGAGTATAAACGCTGCTTGAGGTTCAACTTGCTGTCAGACTTTTAGTCATGCACAATTGCGTCAACCTCAATCATAAAGCAGCTACTGAATTCTCCTTCAAAACGTCTTGAAAAATAGGATTTCATATATGAAGATGAATGTGAGAAACCGCCTTCTTATCCTTCCGCAATTTCTCCTCCGCGGTCAAAGTTGCGGACATCTTGTCAATTTCCAACAACACATCATCCAAATCCAGCTGTGCGAGTACTGCACACATCTTAACCTACCTAGCGAAAATCCAGTGTACCAATCCAAAAGCAGAATGTCATACTTTATGGAAGCCATCACGAACAAAAACTTCGAACAAATCAACATTGCCATCTTGCGAAACTGCTAAACCTAAGCTCTTATACCAATTGCTGTAAAACAATCAAGATACCATAATTGCTCTGATACCAATTGTTGTGGAACAAACTATTGGATTAAGATGTTGAAATTATATGACAAATAATAATGAAGTATTTGGTCAAGCAAAAGAATAAAGAAAACGAGAATATGATAGAGGAATTAAATTATTGACTTAATAATAATGGAAAAAAGAGAAAATTACAATGAATCTTATAATTCTAGTAATCTATTTTCTCGCACCATAAATTATATAGAGGTGCCTAATATTTATAGTGAACATATAGGGGATGTCCAAACCCTCCTAGTAGAGTTGTTTATGAAGTAGGATATCAAATCGAGTCCAAAACAAATTTCAACTCCTAGTGGGCTTCCAAAATAGAATTTCAACTTGACACAGAACTTCAATAGCATTCCAAACTGAATTCTTTTTGATGTGCTCTTCAATTTAAATTCTTCAATTATTTCAACAGGGAGTTTGGGTCACACACAAATTCTAACAGCTTCTTTCTTCATTATGTATATATGCTTTTGTTTAAACAAAGTTTTAGCCTCCTATCAACGTACATCTGTCAATCTGACAGTTCAAAAACAGATTTCCAGGGCCGTAAATCATCTTAATGACTTATTTAATAAGATGGGCTCGTCTAACTGAAAAAGTTAAAAGGTCAAGATTTACCACGATTACTTCAATTGCGTTTCGACAACATAAAGTAAGTTAAACTGACAATACTAAGAGCTAACAGCGTTTCTATTTCCAACGACAATTATTTTTCTCCTTGTCCCCTTCCAGTCGAGCTATCGTAGAACCTTAGGCCTCAAAAAGGCACTTGTTATCTGACAAACGTGCTATTCATGTGGCTAATACAATCGCGTCACTGATTCTTTGGCTTTCAAGGATAGGAAATACTGGGAAGGGATTTGTAGGAGCTTTCTTAAAGGCAGATGGATTACCCAGTCACAAATTGCTTCTGTTGTAAAACAATAAAGATGCCAGAATTGCTCTGGTACCAATTATTGTAGAACAAATCACCGGATTGAGATGTTGAAATTATATGGCAAATAATAATGAAGTATTTAATCAAGCAAAAGAATAAAGAAGACAAGAATATGGTTGAGGAATTAAGAGATTTTATTGACTCAAGAATAATGGAGAAAAGAGAAAATTACAATGGATCCTATAATTCTAGTAATTTATTTTTTCACATCATAAATTGTATAGAAGTACCTAATATTTATAGGGAACATGTAGGGGATATACAAACTCTTCTAGTAGAGTTGTTAATGAAGTAGAATACCAAAAAATCGAGTCCAAAACAAATTTTAATTCCTAATGGGCTTCCAAAATAGAACTTCATCTTGACATAGGACTTCAATAGCATTNCAGCCCGTTAAGTGGGATCCAGGTCGTTACACATCATGACGTGCACTTCAATTAGAATTCTTCAATTACTTCAACAAGGAATTCGGGTCACACCCAAATTCTAACAATCTCCACCTTGACACGAATTCCACCAAAGAATGAACTGCCTTCTCAACAATAATCAAAAAAATTAATTTCTCCAACAAAGCACAATACTCAACATCTTCCAATGAATCCAAGTACTACTCTGCAAAATTATCTCAGGTCCCAAACAATCATAATGATTTTATAATTTACCAAAATGGGTTGTAACACACCCCCAAAGCAGAATCAAATCCAAATGCTTTCAAAGAAGACCTCTTGCTAGATTATACACATTCTACTCCACTTAAAGCATACTCAACAAAATCAGCATCCACATACATTTTTCCACTGGATCCGTCTCTAGCAATTGAATACAATGGCACAGCAGGTGATGGTGGCAAAGCGGCATTATCCATATTTTATGAACTCCACTGAACTCTATTATTCAAATCTGACCTTTTATGAGCTCCTAAAGGTATTGTATTAAACTGAATTTTCACCACGGTACTGAACTTGTGCTAATTGACTTTTCTAAATTTTGCACGACCCTATAAGATGTATAACTGAGACATTTTCTGTCCCTCCAATACAACTTGAGCACCCTTACAAATTTTCAAAACTCCACCTCTACCAAAAAACTCATAACCTTTTGAATCAAGAATAGACAACGAGATGAGATTTTTCTTCAAATCTGGAACATATCGAACCGGTCAAGTGTTCTAGTTGTCCCATCCAAAAGCTTCAAAATTCTAACAACCCGACAAGATGTGTTGTTTCCCATAACCACGACACCTTTAAAAACAGTTTCGCATGTAATAAACAAGTTCTTATTAGGACACATATGAAACGCACATGCTGAATCAAGAATCCAATCATCTTCCAATTTGAACTCAATCTCAGAAATGGCTAAGAGATCTCCCTTACAACATTCTCCGTGAGGTCTGCTTCGCCTGAAGCATATGAATACCTACTTACAGTCATCCTTTCTTTATTCTGAAATTTGGAGCAATCCTTCTTTAAGTATCCATTCTTCTACAGTAGTTACAAATTTGATTACTGGACTTAAATTTCGATATGTCCCTTCTAGAACCACCATGAGCAACCAGACCTTCTTCATCTCTGGCCTCAAAAATCAGATGCTTCATCTTATTTTTTTGAATACAAAGCATCATACACTTCCTCTATGGTGAGAGTATCGCGACTATATAAGATCGTATCTCTAAATGAAGAAAACTAAGCGGGCAACGAACACAATAGGATCAAGGCCAAATCATCTTTATCATACTCTACTTTCAAAGTTTTCAAATGAGCAACGATCTCCTTAAATAACAGTCAGATGATCTTCCAATAATCCTCCTTCTGCCATTCGATGAGAGTATAAAAACTGCTTGAGGTTCAACTTGCTGTCAGACTTTTAGTCATGCACAATTGCGTCAACCTCAATCATAAAGCAGCTGCTGAATTCTCCTTCAAAACGTCTTGAAAAATAGGATTTCATATATGAAGATGAATGTGAGAAACCGCCTTCTTATCCTTCCGCAATTTCTCCTCCGTGGTCAAAGTTGCGAGCATCTTGTCAATTCCCAGCAACACATCATCCAAATCCAGCTGTGCGAGTACTGCACACATCTTAACCTACCTAGCGAAAATCCAGCGTACCAATCCAAAAGCAGAATGTCATACTTTATGGAAGCCATCACGAACAAAAACTTCGAACAAATCAACATTGCCATCTTGCGAAACTGCTAAACCTAAGCTCTTATACCAATTGCTGTAAAACAATCAAGATACCATAATTGCTCTGAAACCAATTGTTGTGGAACAAACTACTGGATTAAGATGTTGAAATTATATGACAAATAATAATGAAGTATTTGGTCAAGCAAAAGAATAAAGAAAACAAGAATATGACAGAGGAATTAAATTATTGACTTAATAATAATGGAAAAAAGAGAAAATTACAATGAATCTTATAATTCTAGTAATCTATTTTCTCGCAACATAAATTGTATAGAGGTGCCTAATATTTATAGTGAACATATAGGGGATATCCAAACTCTTCTAGTAGAGTTGTTTATGAAGTAGGATATCAAATCGAGTCCAAAACAAATTTCAACTCCTAATGGGCTTTCAAAATAGAATTTCAACTTGACACAGAACTTCAATAGCATTCCAAACTGAATTCTTTTTTATGTGCTCTTCAATTTAAATTCTTCAATTATTTCAACAAGGAGTTTGGGTCACACACAAATTCTAACAGCTTCTTTCTTCATTATGCATATATGCTTTTGTTTAAACAAAGTTTTAGCCTCCTATCAACGTACATCTGTCAATCTGACAGTTCAAAAACAGATTTCCAGGGCCGTAAATCATGTTAATGACTTATTTAATAAGATGGGCTCGTCTAACTGAAAAAGTTAAAAGTTCAAGATTTACCACGATTACTTCAATTGCGTTTCGACAACATAAAGTAAGTTAAACTGACAATACTAAGAGCCAACAGCGTTTCTATTTCCAACGACAATTATTTTTCTCCTTGTCCCCTTCCAGTCGAGCTATCGTAGAACCTTAGGCCTCAAAAAGGCACTTGTTATCTGACAAACGTGCTATTCATGTTGCTAATACAATCGCGTATCACTGATTCTTTGGCTTTCAAGGAAATATTGCACGAGAAGATAGGAATCATATTCTTTAGACATCCACATTGCAAGGAATAAAACTTTATCCCTGTAATTTTTATTTATTTTTAAAATTTTGAAATTTATGCACGAGGCGTTCAACTATGTTAGATAATGAGATTTTATTAAGCTGACTAGACTATCAAAATTGTCGAGGTCCGCTTTTATTAGGTTAAGTCAGCCATCAAACTGAAGACAATAATCAAGATTGAGGTCCAATAGATACTATCTAACTTCACTTTTATCTTCATCATAAGAGTTCTATGTCCTAAATGTACAGCTACTATGATTTTAAGAAAGCGACATTGTAACACACGTCATGAAATTCTGGATATCACACGAGACTTTTTGAAAGCCTAAAAAAAAAAGAATAATAATAATAATATGTTTGTAAGGGCCCGTTTGACATCACATTTATTTTTCTTTTGCTTCCCGTAGAAGAACTTCTGAAAGAAATTACCTTGATTTTTGTTTGGAAACTAAGCCCCTGTTTGACGACCATTTTTTGTGTAAAATAGAGTTTTAAATATTGATTTTTAGAAGAATGTGTGGTTCAAAGGTAAGAAAAAGTTTTGAATTTACGTATAGAATATTTTATTATGTGAATTTGATTAAAAATGAGTATATAAAAAAATAATATAAAAACAATGGTTGTCAAATAAGAGCTAATTTTCAAAAGCACTTCCTATTCCGAAAATGCTTTTGGAGGAAATCACATTAAATCAATTTTCTCTAAAAATTCTTCTAACTGTTAAAAGTGTTTTTATAAAATTAGTCAAACGAGTCTAAAAACAATTTTTGGGTCTCAAACATTACTTTTGACTTTTCAAAAATCATGCAAAATGGTCATCTTCACAATAATTTTCTTCCTTTCCTGTAAAATAAACTTTTAAGTGCCATTATATTTATGATGTTCTTGCAGAAGCAGAATCAGAAGCCAAAAACACAAATCTAATGGAAGGCACAAACATTTTTATCCTCTAAATTTCATGTCCAAACTAGACTGTTACCATGCTTAATGAGAATTATCAACAGAGTTAGATGTGAGAAACAGTTACAAGGAAAACCTGAGGTATGCCTATGACAAACATGAGAATTCAACTACTACAACAATTGAATATAGCCGACCCCAAATTTACTGAAACAAGGCTTTGTTTGTAGCTTATTGTTGTAATACAACAATTTAATAGCACCTATTGTCCTTTTTCTTTAAAGCATACAACGATAACAGCAGTATACAACAAAAATGAGCCGCCTGAAAAAAATTGCTTTTTTTTTTGTTACTGGCTCTAACTGTTCTCATAAACGAGCTGAGATGATCTTTGGCGTCTTGCACCCCACGAGAAGTTCAAATCTGTCTTCCTTTTATTTCTTTTGCCTGAAACAGCCTTCTTTTTAGTCCCGAGATTGCCTTGACAGTTTTCAGCTCCACACTGGCACTCAACCTCTGGCCCAAATTGCTCAAATCTGCAGACTCAAGAACAGTAGCTTTAGTCGCTGAAGCTGTTTTATATCAAACCAAGAGTTATGTACTAATAGCACGCTTGATGGGTACAATTAGATAGTAATAAACAATATTAAGGAAGACAATAGTCTATTATATTGTTTGGTCCTATCTAATACCATGTACATAACATGCACTTAGGTTTAGGAAAGCTACCAAGTCCCCTCAGTCACTTGCATGGTGCAGGATATGCTGAAAAGTAATTTCGGCTTGCATATAAATCAATTATTACTTTCTTTTCTTCATTAAGAATTAAATATATATCCATAAACCAATACTCTTGTAATATATTTGCTCCCAAACCAAAAATATGCTAATTTTGTATGGACATTTTGATATATCACTGAATTGAATACACAGCTGCAGCTTATTTATTGAAAAGTTAATTCAAATTCAAATCTCAGAAAATAATATGAATATCAGCAATCCGTTGCACAGACCTGTAGTCGTAGGTTAATGGTTCTCCTACTGGAATGGATCTAGATGCAAAGACACCCACACGAATCTCCCCTTCAACCTGCCTTTATAAAAGGAAAAAATTGACAACAGATATAGTCAGAATCTTCCATGTGCAAATAAACCAATATAAAGTCAAACACTGGGAAGACTAGTATGAAAAATGACAATTTTAGCTGTCAGCCAGCATTAATGGGCAAAGAGTTCCTGAGAGTAGGAAGAAAAAGCACGTAACTGTATCCATATGACCTCAACGCATCAGCTTATGAATTCTAAAGTTTGAAATGTATGTTACCATCATAACAAGGTCAACCAAAACCAGACTACAATTTCTCATTTTATAAAGTACTGCAAAACAACTTAATTTGAGGAAAATTCTCCAAGTTTTCAGTAATTACAGTTACAAATTAATTTAAAAAGAATATAACAAACTATCTCTCTAAGAGACCCACTTGCTGACATATAAAAGTCACCAAAAGTATAGTCAGAATAGTGTTTATTCTTAGTAGGAAACTGTATAGGTAATTGTGCAAGTAATATAAATGCTATTACTTGTGAGAGCCTAATTATTGATGCGTGATATGGTTATTAGACATGTAAAGAAAAAATGAGGAAACGGAGTCCATGGAACAAGATTGTGAAACCTATATACTGGAATAAAAATGACTTATGAGGATAGGTTTTAAAAGAAACAAAATGGGATACGTAGATTTGGATGGTTATTAGGAACCTCGCAAGAAAGAGTGAAAGACTCAGCAAAGTTTGAGGGTAAAAGTCGGTCTAGTAGTGGAAACCCAAAACAGTCTTGCACATTTGGAAGGCATGAAAGTCAATTACGAGATAGTTTTACTACCATTTTTCCAGTTTACAATTAGGAGCACAGCTGTGATTTAGAAACCGTGAAGAATTTCCCTTGAACGTCGCATCAATCACAAAGTCCTTCCGAATTTCACACATGTAAAAGTTTTGAACTTCCTGATCTTTCATCTCCCATAGCCTTTTCTCACACAAAGCATCATTAATAACTGAAGAGAGAGAGACAAACTATTAGATTGTAGATCTTATTCTTGAAGAAAAAATAAACATGGCAGGATAACACAGCAGATTCATAAAATCTTTCATACTCCACACGCTTTAGGAGAAGTTATTATAAGTTGAATTATGAATTATGCATCACATTTCAGACTTCTACAGAGGATGTAATAGCTAAGAGCACTTGCATTCTTAGGTAAATGCTAGTGCGGAAAATATGAAGGCAGGAGTTTATATTCTGCACCATGGGAGTAAATTAATCTGAGCGAAGAAAGAATGTCGTCATATTACAGAAAAAAAGCTTTAGTGGGCAAAGAGTTATCGACTGCAATATCAGAAGTGTTGTGGATGGATGGAGAATATGGGAATTTCAATCATGAGACCAGAAGACCTTCTTAGGTTGGCCTATTAAATATAACAAATAAAGATGCATCGGATCCGTGTTCAGCAGACAGAGGCCATCAGTATCAAGCACAAGGTAGGGTTCATCTTTCTCAAAAATCTTGTGAGTTATTGAAATACGGACAACGAAAAAATCATGCTATTTTGATAGATCTTCCACAAGAAATTAGAACATTTTCATCAAAATATGGGTGAATTACATATTCCTCTTGGCACACAGTTATTAGACTAAAATAGATGTATTCGTTCAGTTGAATAAGGCATACAGATTGTGAGATTTTCAAATTTGAGAAGGGAAAATATAACTTTTTATTCAGTTATAGTATTGTTCCTTGTTTTCAGCGTAAACTGGTGGGAGAAGAGAAAAGCGACGCGCCACCTATATAGTGGCCAAGGAGAGGGATGAGTTACAAATGTTGTATATTCGAAACTCAGGTGACTATAAATGGAACTGACGTAGGAAGATCTTAACCAAAGATTCACAATCGACAACAGAAGAAAGTAAGAGAAAGGAGAGAAAATATAAAGAAATTAGAGGAAGAAAACATGAGTTTATTCAATAAAGCCTAACTATTACAATGCATAAGCCCTCTTTATATCAAGTTTTCAAGTAAACCTAATTTAAATAGGAAAATGACTAAAGACAAAACAAAAACCAAATTTTAGTCAAACTAGAAAACTATAATAAACTAAAATAAGCTAATATTAATCAATCTATATTTATTCCTAATATATTAAGATCTTGTATTCTTATCTTCATTCCCCATACAAGATAAATTGCAACTTCGATGACCACGGGGCGATCTTTCTTCTTGACTGAATAATAATATTTGACCATATGATGATAACTGAATGTGAAAACTATCCTACATCATCTAAACAAGGGGGACAATATTTCCTTTTATCTAAGTATTGACATAGCTCCCAATCACCGGACATATAGAAATCCTCCATAGCATGCTGGAGGTGTCACCAGTGATGGTGGTTCACAGTGGCAGTTGCAGCGGCTGCTGTAGGGTAGGTTTGGGCTGTTGTCGGGTGAGGGAGGATGATTTAGGTGTTGGTAATAAGAGTAGGCTTGTATGGTTTGATGTTTGGGCTGAAAGTGGGTCTGTTGTTTGTATGGTATTGGATTAGGGAGTGGTGTGGGTATTTCTATGGATTTGGATTTGGATTTGGATTTGGATTTTGGACAGCTGAAGGGTTTGAGAGGTTTGGAGAATGCCTGCAATTATAGTTTCTTACACCAAACACATGTGAACAACAATTCATTCCGAGGAGAACGCCAAGCTGTTATACTATTTAATCTACTAAGAACTCCATTTATACTCATCTATTTCTCCAGTAACGCCTCATGTTCTATATCCCTTTATTTTTCATATCTAATCTTTTGCTGACTTGAATTATAATTCTTGCATCAAGGAAACTATAATTCATAACCCCACCTCATAACATATTCAATGTGTGTATTCAAGAAATTAATGTAGTTAAGATCAACTTCTCAAATTTTTCCACTCGCTTAGAGAACCGAGTTAGAATTGAAATAAAAACTGAGTATTCCAGTAGTAAATTATATTATTTATATTTTGACATGCAAATATTACCTTCTCCAACATACTCAATCACGAAATCACCTTTATTGATGGACTCAGCTGCCACTACACCCCAACCACAATGTTTTGTCTGGTAAGCAAAATCCAGTGTCAATGTAGATGGAAAGGAAAAGGGAATTGGTTAAAAAATTAAAATCCATAATCAAAACGGACATACAAAAATATTAAAGAACAAAACACATCAATTTTACCTTGACAATTTGGATCTTTTTATCTTTCCTAAATGGTCTGTTTTTACAATTTCCTTTGCAAAGACAACCTTTCGAGCAGCTGATGCACTGAACCCTGTTAGTCAAAAAAATGATTGTGGAGGCCATCAATGCAACTGTATTACAAAAAAAACTCAGGTATTTGTGTGAATCCATGAAAAAATATTGCAGTCGAAATATAGTAGATGCAAATTTTGAATGAATGAACACTGAAAACCATCTGCTTTTCCAGCCTCTGCAAATGTTTCATATGCTGCATTGGTTCGTAATTTCGTATATAGATGCCCGACTTCTAAGAACACATTCCTTTAAAAATTCTCATGAAATGTCTACAAAAGAATGTAAGTGTTTAAATGACAGTAGACCTAGAAGTTAAAAGCTCTAACTACGGAGCTATTTTTTACTCAATCAAAAGGCTATTGTATCAAGTTATCCATCTCATTAGCAAGAAACATATCCCAAAAGCTAATTTGTGAATGAAAAATCTTCTAGTCCTTGTTTTATAGAGAACCTCCACATGTTGAGATAGTATAGGAGTACATTATTCAGGAGGATTACTTGATGGGCAGATAAGGACAGCAAGAGTTTCGAGAACACCATGTCTATGTCAGAGACATGAAATATCAGAACTCTTCTAACAATTGAAGCATATAGGGAATGTTTTATATGAGTAGCATGAAACCAAAGATAAGCATATGGATGTTTAAATTACTCTAACAATCATCTGGTAAGTCTTTCACCTGTTACACACTATCGTATCACAATAACTTCGTCCATAACATAAATTAAAGATTCATTATAAATATTCTATTAAAATAATACATATAAAGAATTTTATATAAAAAAGAACTAGGCAAACATAGTGTGTGATTTAAATTGATTGAGCATGTCAACTATGCTTGCTTTTCTTAAATCTGGTTGAATTCGTATACAAGCTTGATAATCCAATCCAACTTCGTGCATCAAACCCTGTGCTCTCATGATCTAACGACAAGCTGAATTGGATTGATAAACTATCTTTAGGTTCACCATTATTTCCAAAAGCCATTACGCAATGAGAAGGGATTGCTGGCTTGCTGCAGGTGTAAGCATGCAGAGTAATGGCCCTCACTGACATGTCTTAAATTCTGTAATGATAATTCAACAGTATAGTACATCGTAGTTTAGTAGAGAATATCGTAAAATAAGGGTTCAAACTTGGTTGGATTATGAAAAAATCCACGGAATCCAATTTAAGTCAAGGTGAAAGTACAAGCAGAGAGTTGTTGGAGTTGTGGAATGAACAACCATGATACCCTTCATACAGAATGTGAAAGTCCATTATATACTTAGGTAAAGCACAGGGGTGCAGTAGGGTCTTGTGCAATTGAATTTTTTTACGAGATAAAAAATAATCCTCTATGACTCCAAGCAGACCAACAATGCTATATAGGATTGAATCTGCTGGTATTCAGGAACATCATATACATAAACTCAGAGTAGTTGAGATAAGAATATCAAGATAGAGTTGTTGCAAAAACTGTTTGAACACCTAGTGCGATAGTTTGAACCCATCAAAAGAAGGGTGCAAGATATATCAGTTCAAAAAATAGAAACCTAGCGGCAATGGTAAACATGAAGGAAGATGCAGACCTACAATGACATGGAATGAGATCGATAAAAAGAATTTGCACCTTTGATTTTAAAGTGAAATTGATCTCTAGAAGAGCAGAATGGATAAAGAGAAGACATACAGCAATGAGCTAATACTTTGATGAGTTAAGTTGATTAAGATTGCAACACTACTGAGCAAAACTTGTCTTCCTGTCACTCAGTGTATATGCACAAGAGACAAATTACAAATTAAAGCATTAGTGAAAGCACATGTTATAAAAGGGAGGACAACAGTACCTGCAGACACATGCCTCAGAGCATTCAGTAGAACTGCAGCTTGCACATCCAGTATCAGCATCAACCTTACCGCGCTTCCTCTTAATGAGGTAAAAGTCTATTTTGAGTTAAGTTAGCTTCAAATTAAGCATTTAGAGCTATTATGATTTTAGCAGCATTTACCGCCATAAATAGTTAATCAAATCAAACAGGATAAATAGTTTGTTAGCATCGTCTAAAGATTTTAATAGTATTTGAATTCTTTTCATAAATAAAAGGGAGACAATGAACATTTATGTAAAAGACAACGAGTTTAAGCTTAGTAAATCTGAAACCAACATGCATAGGATACTTCGCTTGATGTGCTCGTATGGAGGTGGCTCCAATGTATTTTCTGTCAGGTCCTTCCAGTTTAGGTCAATTTCGAATTCCTTGTCCTTATGCAGAAGAGGCAAGCAAGAGAATATTTCCTGAAAGGTCCAATAAAATGTCAGTAGTTTGAAACAAGATGAGCAGAGATAAATCTAGAAAAAGAAAGAAAAAAGCAAGTTCATGTCTATGGAGAGGTCTAAAGTCTTCAATCCTTAGTATTTATTCACAAAGTAATACGCCAATCTCTAAATCCCACTAGGCAATCAATGGATTCAATGTAAAACCAATATTGCAAATCTGGTGCAAATAGTCTTGACTTCTACATATTTAATTCCATTTTTTGTTGTAGAAGGCAAATCTCAAGGCAACAAGAAGTAGCATTGAATAAACCCCAGTGTATGATACACTGCTTTATTTCATGCATTATGCATATTCAACAAGAAAAGGAAACCGATTATCAGATTCTAACCTTTATGCTACTGGCAGGAACTTTTTGCTGCATATTAAAATAGATATGTGAGTCCTGTCAGGCAGTGTAATAAATTAAAATTATAAACATGTAATAAAAGCAACATAAACATAAAATTTTGTTGACAATACCATGTGATAAATGTAATGAAGCCAGAATTTCAATTAGTTATATCATTTCATGAAATAATTAAGCTAATATATGTTCAAGTTTAAATGTTTAATATTAAAATCGTATAGATCACAAAACATGCTTCGTGGAAAAATGGAAAACTGTTATAATAGAAAACAAAGAAAAAGGAAAGGTTCAGATTGATAAGTTTTAAATAGCCTGGTCTGCATGAGTTATCAGCAAACAAAGCTTCATAACAAGCTGAATGATGGCATCAAGAATTCTGTAAAGAAAATGCAATTTACAACGTCCATAATTCTTGATTCTTCTTATTAGCTCCTTAAGGTAAACAGTAAAGGTATAATAACTACTAAATATTGCAGCAATTATTGTTTTAGATTTGAGCATAAATGCATGCTGACTGGAAAAATGAGCTACTTACGTAAATGAACAAGTCAAAAACATATTTTATGGGTTGAAGAGTTCAACATTCATGCTTTTATGTACCACTTCTATGACAACTTTCCAAAATGAGACCTTAGTTTGCAAGGAACGTACTAGTTAAATTTCCAAAAATTTCTTTCAAAGAGATTTGATATACTTTTTTTTTTTTGTCTAAGTTTATCTGCTCACAACAATTGGAAATGTATGTTGCCCGCGATATTGTTCATTCAAAATTGAGGACTAATAAATTGGGACAGATGGAACATCTGAGTGTATTACAATTCCACAAGCAGCTGTGTAATTAGAATATGAATAAATCACGACCAAAGAAATGCCCGATCAGGCTTGTCCACAATAAGCAAAAATGTTTTATTTTCACTAGAAAGTGATAATTTGCTAAGTGACACCTACTCCTTATGCCACTGTCTAAGTCAAGAGGCAGATCTATGTTGAGACATGGGATCTAAGTTCTAAAAGTCTTTATTTATTTATTTGTTTTGTTTTGTTTTCCAATTTCTTCAATAGAATCCCAGGATATGCTTGTGATCTACGAACAGAAATTGAATAGGTTGATATTTGTATTTGTTTATTTTTGCTGGAATTAAAGAATAGAGTGTAATTGCAACTCAATGAAATGAAAGATACAATAGTTTGCTAAGCATTCAACAGGCTTAGCTCTCTCCCAATTGACACCCTAATTTCTCCCTACTGAATCCCACTTCCCACACCCTTATTTATAGTTTGAAGCCTTCACATTGCCTTAGGGGACTATCAATACCCGCACCCCAAAAATCCACCTTGTCTTCAAGGTGGAAGTCCAGGATACCATATAGCCGGAAAATTTCGTTTGCCAACACCTAAGCCGGAGTCGAAGTAGAAAATGGACGTTTTGGTCCGACTAATCGACCAGATCCTACTCAATCGATCTACTATAGTATGGTTTCCATGAAAACCCAATAATCAGATGCACCCACTTGATCTAAAAGGTTAAAATGTTAGAAATAGCACATGTATATTATTTAAATCTTATCTTCAACACGCTTCCTTAAGTGTAAGCGATTTTCATTTTTTTCATCAAAGCCTAAACCATGCACAAAAGAATTATATAGGTGATGGCGAGACTTGAACTCAGGATTTTTATCTACTCTAATACCATTCATCTATTCTAATATTAAGTTTAACCACAAAATTTAAAAGCTTAAACTGTTAAAAAGATACATGTATATCTTTTAAATCTTATCTTCAACATATATTTATACAATCACGTATCCACAAAACCAAAAACACCATAGATCATGTGACCCATATATATCCTACTACCAAAAGAAATACTATAGCGAAATGACTACGTGGTAATCAACCCACATTTATATTCTAGTCACACAAGCCCTGCATTTCGAAGTGGGATATTCGGGTCATATTCTCAAACATTCTCATTGAGTGTATAGCAATAAAAAATTGAATCAATAAGCTAGATTTTGGAAGTGGTTCCCACCATGCGAGATGTAGTACTTAGTGTTAGATTTAAGTAATGTAAATTTTCCAAATAAGAATCATTGTTGACTCGTTATTATGCACGACTTCATCTTGTTTATTCGTTAATTTTGAAGAAATTATTTCCTTTTTCCGAATCCATGCTTCTAATTCTGGAAAAGTGGTCACTCCTAACTTTTCCTACAAGGAAGTTTCTTTATTAGGAACATAAACAAAAGTGCTTTTATCAAGATTCAAAAGACAAACTCTATTTGTTGTCTGATTGAGACAACAATATCCCTTGTGCAATGAACTATTTCATACAAAAAGACGAGGATGTCTTTTATGAGAATTTATTATTTCTAAAATATCTAAAATATGAAAAGCACCTTTTGTGCGAGGTTGCCTCTTGAACGATTAAAAGAGCGACAATACTATATAAAGGGTGGTTGTGCATGATTTATTAAATGGACCGAAGTTAAGAAATCATCTATCCAATATCTCAAAGGCAAATTGGTTTGAAAAAATTAAGTCAATCATCTCTCAACTATGCGTCAATTTTTTCTTTTGGTAATACTATATTCTTCACAAGCATTAGGACAATAAAACAAATGTAAAATTCCACATTGCCTTAAATGTCTCAAGAGTAAGGGAAATAAATTCACCATCTTCATCACTTCAAAAACCTTTATTTTCCTCTCGTAACTGGTTTTCCATTAATTTTTTAAATTTAAGAAAACATTTTAAAAATTTACTTCTTTTCCGCAGAGTAAATCCAAGAAAAACGAGTACAATAATCTCTAAAAATTATATATTTTTTAAAACTTTGGCATGATAAAATAAGACAAGATTCCAAAAATACAATGAATTTGTCACATTTCTTTCCAAAAACATGCATGATTTTAGCAAAATGACAGTCAATGATGGATTTGTAGATGAATTGCGTGCGATGATTGCACCTATATTGTTCTAAATCCAAAAACTCCCATAATAATCTTGAAGAAATAACGAACTCTCCATTTGTGCAAAGCCCTCAAATTTGTAATAGAGCGAGGCATCTTTGCCACACATGAGCGAACCAATTTTATCATTTGTTGACTCTCTTGTATCAGGATAACACTCTTGTACATCAGGTTCAACCGTGTCACTGAACTCTTCAACAGATTCAAAGTGCTATCTCGATAATGAAGCCATATTTATTAAAGTTTACAATTTTTCCTTTGACAATACACAAATATTCCAAATTTGTTTGAGCAAAATCATCAATAAATAGTCTGTTATGTAACAAGTTTAAAGATTTAAAATGGATATAACCCATTTTTTAGTGTCAAATACTATAGGAAGCCTTCTTTTGGTAGGCCATTTGCCTCTTCCAACCCATAATAGTCTTTCCTTACTATAGCTTTCGCACCAATTAGATGGATTTTGCTCGACTATCCCCTAATAAAACTATTAGAACACAACTAAAGCAAACATTTATTATCAAAAGTGAGTTGCCCAAAGGATAAAAGATTATATTTGCTCTCAAGAATAATCAACACATTTTCAAAATTAAAATGTCCACATAGGGTTTCAATCTTTTCTTGAGAAAATTTTAGGCTCTGACTATTTTCACATCATATAGACTCATTGCCATTTGTAAGGAACGTTATTAGAACCTTACCTAGATCATTCAAAACATAAGCGGTGCCTTAACTCCGGACAAAGAGTTGGATCATTCTCATCATGGAAACTTATTATAGGGAGCAATGGGAATATCTTCGTCTTGGTAAAAATGATCAAATTGATTCCAACACTCCCAAGGCCACGTGATTAGCCACGCCACAAATTTGTCAAATTACTCCTTCATCGTTCCTTGTTGGTGATTCCTAGGTAGATTGATTTCCTTGCTTCTGATAGTTCCTACGTTGATCGTAACCACATTGGTTGCTTTCTTATTGATTTTCATTACCAATGAAGCCTCATCCCCTTGAGTTGAAGGCATGAAGCGAACACCACAACAGCGTCACTTATTCCTCTTTGGTTGAGGAAGGCTTGCTCGTGATTATTTTGTTTGTCTTCTTTGTACATCCAATAAGCAGCATATGTCTATGTGCTTGCAACGCTAAAACCAACTAAATGAAGATGGGCGCGGAGCTTATACTTGCATAACCATGTCAATATCCTTATACTTGGGACCACGTCTTCTTGTTATTTTGAAAAACTTTGTTAATTTTTTCCTTCGGCTTTTCCAAATCTACTAAACTATCACGAGTACTTTTTAACTTTCTAAGATATTCATCAAGGGAAAGATTTCTCTTTTTAAGATTCATAGGACTTTCATTCAAGAGAATTTCTCTCTCTTTGGTCATGCAAATTTGTTCTTCCATAGAGTTCCACACCTAAAAAGTGGAATTGACACCATAAATCATTCATTGCTAATACCTGTTGCGTGATTATCCGTAATAACCATGTGGTTAATAGGCTGACATTGTTCATCCACACACCTCTCCTCTTCTTGTTCGCCGTTCTCGGACACTTGATTTTCCAGATCGGGACTCCCAACTAGAGGCAAGACTAGTGACCTCCAAATTAGGAAATTGTTGGAACTTAATTTATAGAGATATTTCTGGTACACTGTAGAAAAAACTGATTCCTGAGTTGAGTTTAGTATGGAAATTATTTTGTTTTCCGCTCTAGATTCAATCCCTTGGGGAGAGCACTGCTGCCATATCAAATTCAAATTGAACTTATAATTCTGTTTCCACAAGTCTATACCAAGGAATAGAAACTCTCTTATACATACGCGAGTTTGATTAGAGCCAAATGGCAACGTTCTTGATTGCCAACATTAAGAAAATAGAGATTGTATTTCCTAATCTTGAGCAATTCTTCATTAGAAAAATCCTTTGGATAGTGTACAGTTAGTTTCTGTGTATTCTTCCTTTGATACAGTGGTTACCGTTGTGCCGCTGCGTGCTCTTTCGCTGATATAACAGTTGCTGCTACATCAGTCTTTTCTATTTTCGTTATAGTAGATGCCGTTGTGTCGCTGTGCATTTTTCCTTTTAATGTAGCAGTTGCCTCTGCTACATTATTCTTTTCCAACTTCGTTTTGAAAACTCATTCCTATAGGTGAAGGAAGGTATTCACACAAGTGTCAACAATTTATTGACTCTTAAAATGCAACCAATCTATATAACAACCTAGGTTCAGACAATTTATGAAATCTCCAAAAATACAAGGATTAATGGAGGATAGTGGAAGGAATTTCGGATAAAGGAACCTTGCATCTCTAGTTCTAACATTGGGCCAGACAGAGCAAAATTTGTTGAAATGCACTCACAGTTCAAAAATATACGTTAGTCATCTAAAAAGGTACCAAATATAGCAAAAGAAATACAAAATTGCATTTCTGTTCAGAAATGGAAGTTATATCAGATTTATAAGTTACATACATGTAGCTTGAGTTAAATGGGAGTAAGACTGGCAATTGATCAACATAGAAGATGCTCCAAAACTAATTTAAATCTTTTATATGATGCGTGACTCTCTTTTGTGAAAAGAAGGAAATATATATTCTGAGGAAGTAATGGCAGCAGGGAAATTCAGTGGCACTTTATGTTTAAGATTTTTAATGTCTTCCCTCTTTTGTGTATTAAGGAAAAAATTAGTTTCAAATGTAAATATATAAATAGTATATTAAGAAGTGTGTCAAAATTATTCAAGTTATAACTCAAAATGCAAGGTTCATATCTATTATTTGGAGCATCACCCCTGGAATTCTCAGCTCATCTCTCCAAGGTCTCTCATATCGATAGCTTTGATTGATGGAAAACCAAAATAAATTCTTCTTTGTTTAGTAAGCAACAAAAAAGACAAAATCAAAGAGAGAAGATTATATTGAGATAGTAATGATTTGTTGGTTCTAATAGTCATTTTGTAGTTTACCAATGAGCTGTGAGTAGAATTGTTCTCAGTTCTCAATAGCATCAAAACAAATTAATAATGTCACACGCTGTTGAACCAAATAATGATATTGCATGAATGCAAAAAAAAGTAAAAAAGTAAAGAAAATCTGAACAGCAAAGAGAAATTTAGAACCATGTTGATGAATGAAGGAAGAGATAGACCTCCTCCAAATGCCAGTCAGTAGGATGCCTCCAACAAATGACCTCCTGTGGTCGATCAGGCAAACGAATCACGTGCTCAGGAAATGGTGCACACCTATCATGTGATGCCGTAGGGCATCTTATACATCGCCACAATCGATTCTTTCGCTTACACAAAAAGCATGCCTGATTAATAAAGAGAATATAACCCTAGTTAAAATAATCTTCATGCAGGCAAAATTAGAATCCAAGAGTACATGTATAAAGAAAACATTGATCATGTCCATATTCAGGAAAGACTACAAAGAAAAGAAAAAAAATTAACATAAATCAAAAACTTCATTTACCCAAACATGCACATCAATGGCCTAAAATTGTGCCACCCTCTTCTTTTTTACCTCAACTCCCAGAACTCAGAAGAATTATGAATAAATTATAAATATATAACAGCAAAGGAGTGATTAGATTGATATTATAACTTTCTCAGACTTACATGTTGAGGGCACTTGAATTGTTTTGAAGACAAGAAGCCAAGTCCATCTTTAGCACATTTTAGGTGAAAGGCTGCTTGGCAGCCACGAACAGAGCATAATATCTCCTTGCTGTTGATTACATTCTGGCAAACAAGACACTGGACCAGAGAGAGACGAAAACTGATGAGAATGTTGAGCCAATCATATTATAAGGTGAAATATTAAAAATGAATCTTTGCTTAGAACCTTAAAGGCATGGCTACTATGCTAAATCATTCTTTGTTGCAAAGTTATTACACACGAAAGCATTCCAACATTGCTATCCTCTTCTTCAAAGATACAAAGAAAATGGTATCTTTTTTTGTTAAGGCTTGGTCTTACTTTGTCGTGGATAAAATATCTTTTCTTAATTTTGATTAGGTATATTAATCTAACTCAAAATATACCAAATGACTAATCAGAACTTCACAACACTCTATAATCCCGATAAAAGATTAACTATAACTAGATCATTTATTACATGGAAAGGAATATAAAGACCCTTATAAAGCTTCTGGAAATATAAGATGAAGAATTGTAAAAAGGATCCTAGCAAATCCTGAATGGACACCTAACAGAACAGCATAAATGATTAGAGAACTACAAAAATAATTAATCAGCGAAGTATAAAGAATCCTAAAGGATAAAATTATGCAAACCACTTAATTGACAGCTAAAATAACAGTAAGAAATATCCAGGTTTCACCAATTCCACAGAATAACACTAATAATTCTTGAAAATTAGAATTGAGTAGCAGAACATTAACCAAATTTGTCATCCAAAAAGGTAAAAAATTTTCAATTTTAAAAACTTAAAGTTGACAATCCAAAACCAACTATTAATTTGCTATAGGAAAACCAAAAAAATTTCAAATGTTCAGGTACAAGCAATTTAACAAAACAAAATTAACAATTCAAAACCAACTCTTCAACGTCAAAAATAAAAATCTAACATGAGAAATCCATAAATTACCAAATCCCCCAATTCATCACTCGAACTGGCAAAAGATAAAAATCCCACAAAAAGTCATCTTTAAAACAAATAAAATTGATAAATTACCATTTCAGGAGCTTTAAACAGGATGGACAGGGAACTGTTGAATTCCGAGTCCCCCTTTTCAATTTTCATGTTCCCATCTTTGAATGGCTTCAAAGCCCTACCCATTTCCATTTCTTCTTCGCCTTCCTCGAATTCTCTAATCCCCTCTCTTTCCACGTCACCATTATAGTCAGTCAATTGAAACCCAGAATCCGAATTCTGCTCCGGAATTGGTTCCATATCAGGATTCGGGTTCACGCCCACCTGAACTGGTTCTCTCACAGGCTTGAGTTCAGTGCAAGGAACCGCAGCTTTAAATGCCGATGAATTTAGAAGTTTGTCCAGGGCAGGCATTTTCGGATTAGAGTGAGAAAGCAGCCGTTACAGTCTATGCCTCCATCACGTATATAAGCAACGGTGGCGTTGGGTCGACGATGAGGTCAGGATTTGGAAATATGCGAGCCGAAACCTGGACGGGAGTTGAGCGGTCAGTCTATGCCTGCATCACGTATATTTGCAACGGTGGCGGTGGGTGGACGATGAGGTCAGGATTTGGAAATATGCGAGCCGTATCCTGGAGGGGATTTGAGCGGGAAAAATGAAAATAATGTGAATTCTCGTAACGGGAGGTTTGAGCTGAGGAAAATTTACGATCCTGCCACAAAAGGTCGTAATTTCAAAACTCTCTATAAATTTCGGCCCATTTGATGAAATTTTCAAAATGACTTAAAAAATGTTCACGATAAAAAATTATATTTCGAATTTCTTCACCCAAAATAAAGAATTATTCTTGTTGTACAGAACTATTCATCTACCAGATGAATCCAGATACTCACATGGTGGGCTCCACGCTGAATAAAAAATGGCCAAAAATCCGACCCACCCCCCTTATGTTGTGAGTGTCTGGCAGCATTTACAGAAGCATGGCTTCTGTACATGCAGCAGACTTCCAAAATAAAAGGCATGCTGATGTGAGGTTGGATCTTGATTATACTGTATATGGCAAATATTGAATACATATCAACTGGAACTTGAATATAAAGACATCTAAAATCCAATATCAAGTTTGAATGTACATCTATTAACACGTAATTTTCAATTCTGATATCGACCTTGCTACACTTACACGATATGGTTCACACAATTCATACAGGTGGGCTACTTGGCAAAATCTGGTTGAAAATAGAAGGAAAAAATTGAACCACACAGATGCTACCACAATAGCATCTGTAAAAAAATCTGTGAAACAAAACATGTATACTTAACATTTTTTTAATGATATATGTATTTGCATACGAATTTTATCATTTAGAATAGTGTATACAAGAGAGCAATCATGAACATAAATATATAAAGCGAGTTAGTTGATTGCACGAAGGCCCCCAATTTTTAAAATTTACATATTTTTGCATTTGTTTATAAGATGAAAAAATATGTTGGAAATTAATAATATGTTGAATACAAATGATTTTTGAGTTAGTAATTTTAAAAAAAACATAAATAGTTTAACAAATTTAATTTATCAAAGAAAAAATCATCAATATATAGATTAATTGACATATAAACTAACCAAAAATTCCGTTGAGAACAAAATAAAAGTATCAGCCTTTAGTAATATTAGAAATATATAAAATATTTAAACTTATTTATTAGTAACTTAAATAAAAATATAAAATAGAAAAAAAATACATTTATGTGAATGATAACAACAGTTTTCCGTTGTTTATTGAAGCAAAGCTCAATATTTTTTACGACATTACTGATAATATTGTTGTCTATAATCGTTGACAAATGTGTGTCTGTGATCAATAATGATATCGTCATGACAATTTGTCTGAATCACCGATATATATTATTTCGATAGTTGTCAGTCTTTGATCACCGACTGAAATTTTTGTCGATGATCATTTGCTCCAGCAATTTTATTATTGTCTTGAAAATGCCTACTTGAGTCCCTACAACCCCAAATTACTCGAGCTACTTGTGTTATGTGCTTGTATGATCGAAATTTGACTCGTTTCCCCATCTTTTCACACTAGTATGAATGTGGCTAAAATATATTCAAAATGAAGCATTTTAGTGGACCAAACCATGCGCGATTAGATCAAAAGTTAGATAATTGAATGCGTGTTTGAAAATATGAAAGACATCTAAATTGGATTACATGATCTGTGATTGAAGATGAGAATCTCGATAAAAAAAATGATTATATTGTATCGAAGAGTACCATATCATTTAAAGTATGCATATTTGATTATCAACCACAAAAAATGGAAGCTCAAGAAGAGTGGGTTGGATAAAATAAA